GATTAGATTCTGAATTGTTTTAGGCTTAGGGACTTTATGATGGTTATCAGTTACTTCGACGTCGTAGGTCCCATTGGATTTCTTGATTTGTGTTTATATGTAGAATATTTTCTACTTCAATATTTCCCACTCAATAGTCTTTTATTCTGTGTTTCTTGATAATTCACTGTGTCAAGTTGTGACAATAATGTGCATCGTTAACGAGGCCTTTTTGTAGTATTCCATTGTATGTAATTTTTGTGAGCGGAAGCAGCATATATGTAAGAAGCTGCGAACGCATTGAAGGACATTCAAAAGGTTGGGACCTTATAAACTGCTAATAGTGACGGCGTTTTCCACATACCAGTATGTCGCTACGTTCACGTGCAGAGGAAAAATCGGCGAAAGAGACATTGCATAGTATTGAGACAACTTTGTGGAACTTCCATCTAGGCTGTATGTTTCGCTGTAATCATTTTTCTCTCAAACCAATAACAAAATATTGTTAAAGGCATTCTTGTAGTATGATTCGGTGACACAATTACTGGCAGTTAATAATATTATATATGTGCAATATTTATGATATTTTCTGCACCATTAATGTGCTCCACATTTCAAAAGAAGTGTAAACTAGGATGACTGAATTTATTGATTACTTAAGTCATATATGGTGATGTATGTTAAGTACGTAAACGCCTAATTTATGTAAGTGAATTTAATCTGTATCACTTGTGGGAATGTTGAGTCTTAATGAGGTCTGTCAGTTAGTTAAATTCACTGGAAGCAGATTTATTCGCATTCGGACAAAGACGAAGTTCAGTTTCTCGTCAAGATCCTACCTCATGAGTCATACAGAAATCCGTCAGACATCTTGAAGGTCAGTTCGTCCTAAAGGTTCCAATCTTCCAGATATTTTAATTCACTTCTCACTGAAATATCACTTATCTACCTCACCATAATCTTTTTACTTACGCACTATTATGCTCTATTTTATCTTAACTGCCTACGCCTTTATTAAAGCTAAAAATTACATTTTGTTCATATATTTTTCTTGCTCAACGCGAGCCACCTCCATGAAGAGTGACAGTGGGCTCTGTCGAAGAGGCTGAAAGAACACTGTTACTTGTTCAAGTATTAATAATATTAATAATAATAGCTTTATTCCAAACAGTATTTGTGGTACAGGTATGGAATTTTCAGCGTGCATTACAACATTGCATCTAATTACCTCATAAATTTTTAAGATTTTAAAAACAAAAAGCAACAACAACAAAAAATAGATAAATGAAAAGAAATAAAAAAATAACAGCGTTGCATTCGGATTTTAAACAATGCACCACAGGAATATGAAATATAAAATTAGTGTGCAATGAAAGATTTGAACAAGAGTATAATGGTAACACAGAAAGGAAAACAAAAACTAATGGGAAACTATTTGTTAGAGTGCCGCAGTAAGTTGATCGTGTCATACCTAACGGATTTCTCATCACACAACAGCTGTGCCAGATAAGGCATTGTGGAGTTTTTGTACTTGGTAGTCCTTGCATATAGCCTCCTATAGTCGCTTCTAGTTCTACCAGATGAAATGCAAGGAGAGAGCTGCGTATAGAGAGGTCTAACAATATAGTATTCGCTAGTTTCTTACATGACATTATATGTCTATCCACAATATTGTTAACCAGTTGGTTCAACGACATTCCACTTCCCCTACTAACAGCTTTTAGTGCCCTTCTCAGCAAAGCAAAATCTATCTTAAGTAGTCCAGGAAAGATTAATAGGGAACAGTAAAGAGAGGTGGGTAGAATACAAGAATTGACAAACTGAGAAAGCAAAGACTACTTTATACCAGACTGCCTTAATTTTCCAACGTAGAACGTTAAGCGAAACATCTTTCTAGTAACTAGCAAGATGTGAGAGGACCAGGAAAGGTTGGAGGATATACTAAGTCCAAGGTACTTGACATTAGATGTAATTTCAACCTCTATGCCGTCAATGATAGTGGGGCCATGTGAGCTAGCTAGTTGTTGCAGGTCACGTTTTCGTCCGAAAGTGAAATTTACTACCTGACATTTAGACGGAGCTAGCTTAAGACCGTTTGAAGAGGACCACTGACTAATTTCCGACAGAAAGTAATTTAATTTGGAACAGTCCGACTGAGAGTTGACAGGCATAGAAACAGAGAGGTCATCAGCACACTTGACAAAAGTGGCTACATCAGAATGGAGCAAGTCATGTAAAAAAAGAAAACGAAAAAGGAGAAAGAACAGCACTTTGAGGAACACCAGCTAAAGTAAATGAGGTAGTGGAAGACTTTCAATTGTATACGGTGTACTGTTTCCTATCAGAAAAATAGGAATGCAACCACTTATTTGTCCAGCTATCGGCCTGTGTTGCAGCAAGCTTACTTAGCAAGAGAGACCTAGGTACTGAGTCAAATGTGGATCTGTAATCAAGGAAGGTACACCTAACGTATTTAGCTCCTCTATCTAAACTAGGGACTACATTATGATATTGAACAACAGCGGCATCTAAGGTACACCTACTACTTTTATAAGCAAACTGGTTGGGGTCATTGAAAGGCTTTAAGCAGGGTTCAAGATTAAGTAAAATAAGTCTTTCCATAACTTTCAAAAAAGGTGAGGTAATAGCAATGGGTCTAAACTTGATAGTAGGTCCACTTGTTGATTTAGGCACTGGAACAACCTTGATATTTTTCCATGAGTCAGGAATAATACTTTTGGAAAAAGATTTGTTGAAAACGTCAGTTAATGGGAACATAAGATGTCTTAAGGGTAACAGCAGGAAATCCATCAGGACCAAGGGACTGCGTAGGTTTGAGAGATTGAAGACACTTAAGAACATCATTCGTATTAAAGCATGAGAAGCAGTCATTATTTACACTATTAGAGTTAGGAATCATAACATCCGCTGGGATACATATGAAGGATTTATTGAGCATATCAACATCAACAGAAGTATCATTCATTATCTGCTTACCACCTGTGATTTCTTTTAATAACTTCCACATATTAGATGAGGATTTACATGAAAGAAACTTCTGGTTATAGAGGGCATTTAGTCTTTGTAATTCAGCTTGAATCAAAGTGTTCATTCTCTTAACACCAGATTCATTTTTCATTTTGTACAACCTCTCTTTTTCACGGCGAAGCTTTATGAGTTGAGAAGAGGAGAAGCGGTCAAATTTCAAGAAGATTATCTCTTTTGGACAACAAACATCAAAACAGAAATTAAGATAATGTGTTATGTTAGTAATTGCGTTGTCAAGAGCCTGTTCAGTAAACAGATCCCAGTTTGTGTCTTTTAACATTGTACTTAGATTCTGTATGTCGTCATGAGAATAACGTCCGTGTTGTGTTTTCTTTCCAAGGTATGAGAAGACCCTTTTGCGCTGCTTTCCATATAACTTGGGCAATATTCTTATGATACAGTAATCAGAATTAAGTAGTGGGGCTCTTTTTTGGGCTTCAAATATTCCTGTGTCATTTGTAAACACAACATCAAGAGTACTATCCAGTCGAGTCGAGAAGTTCATTATGTTATCATATCCAAGTGAAATAAGGAAGCTGTGATCACTAGAATTGAAATCTCCAGTAAATATAGACAAGGAGTTTCGGAAGTAGGTGGCAGCAAGGGAGGTAAATTCATCTGCAAATAAAGACAATTCTGTGGAATTGCATCCAGGAGCAATGTAAATGTTCGAGATGTATATGTAGTTATATTTTGAGAAATGTTTAGGCTGACATTTAACAGTCAATATTGTCACTAGAGAATTTGAAACATACCTTATCAGATGTACACCATTGTGAATTGATGAAGATGGCGACACTGCTACCGCGTTAGCCATCGAAAGAAGTTCCAATGTAAGAGAGAGATATGATAGGACATGGGCTGCCAGGCAAATGGGAGGGAGTCACTGGAACTGATGCCTCCTGCATCTACGATAATACACAGTTTGCCGGGGCTGGAAACTGGCCCTGCTCGTGAAAAACACATGCATGACGTATAGCAATGGGGATGACTGTCATTTCAGATAGACTTTTGTGCATCTTGAGCAATCTCCACTTTCATGAAGCATGATGAATTAGCACCTTTCAAAAGCTTAGATCGTTCGATTATTGCACAAGCTATCAGAACAGGTTATCATAAGTCTTAAATTGTAAACTCGTCACTAAGGTCACCATCAAAATTGAGCAACAACCCAAACTCCGTTCCGTCTCCTGCTAATAATTATGGCCAATCAGTGAACGGTGTATATTTGGGTAAGTGCTAGGGCGCCACTCAGTTAAAAGCTATTTCAAGAGGAGAACAACGTCCTGAGAAACTGCGAAATAGCATAAAATACAATTATAGATAATACGTCATTGAAAGTACACCTACAAGATATATACGGCAAGAGGCTATAGAGTCTTCGAAATATTAGTATACATTTGCAATGCTTAATGCTAACCGTGTTGGTAATATCATGGAAACCATGACGTTTCCAATGAAAACATATAGCTTTGTTTTGGTGTTTTTCATCGAAGCAACCAGACTTTGAGCAAGCAAAAAACATGAACAAAAAGTAATTTTTAGCTTTAATAAAGGCGTAGGCAGTTAAGATAAAATAGAGCACAATAGTACGTAAATAAAAAGATTATGGTGAGGTAGATAAGTGATATTTCAGTGAGAAGTGAATTAAAATATCTGGAAGATTGGAACCTTTAGGACGAACTGACCTTCAAGATGTCTGACGGATTTCTGTATGACTCATGAGGTAGGATCTTGACAAGAAACTGAACAGACTTGTAGACGGTAGGAGCAAAAGGATTTTTTATAATTTATGTCTGTATTTGTTACAAATGACTAGGAAATTAAGTTTCCCTTATATAATAATAAAGTTTGGAAGTAGTCAATGCTGAGGAATTATCGCCAAATTCTTGTCAGGACTGCCATCCACTTACATAACCTGGAAAGTCTGCGTTATAGAAATAGTAATTTATCTCGGCTTATTGTTTGTGTGCCTCAAGGTCAGGGCGTTTGTCACGAATTTGAGTCTTTCAGTAGATCCACTTTTAGTGAGTATTGGGAAATTTGCTGCGTTTCTGTGTCATATTATTCGGTGAATTACACGTGGCCTAGATTGGAACTGGGATATTGGAGGTATAGGGGTTTATAGTTATCTATTACATCTGTACCCAAGCTTACTATAATGCTGAATTAAATATCACTAATTCTGAAATAATTCTAGCATTCCATTGTGAGTAAATTCTGAATCTGTTCTGAAATAGATTCTTTAACGGCACAGACTAGAACTCAGTGCTGGTTTGAAGCACGACTGGCACTAACTCGGCATCGTGTTCTTTTTCCAGGCATTTTTAGGAGTAGATCAGAACCTATTGGGTTTGCTTATCAGCGTTGTCCCAGCCCTCACGGGACATATTAAGCACGGACTAGCGTTACTTCAGAACACAGAGAGTAGATAAAATCTTCATTTACCATGAAAAGGCATTATCGAAGAATAGGTTGTAATAAATGTAGAATTTTTTAAAGTTCGTCTCCTTTTGCTGTCCATAGACTGTCGTACGCTCTATCGAGAGAAAGATAGATTCATACTTCACTTAGGGTGGATACTAAATCTTTGCGATGTTTTTTGAACTTGGAAGCGCTGTAACATAGCAGGTAGTGAAGTATTTCACATTAATAAGGAGGTTGTAACCTTTTCCAGTGAATTGTTTTATGTGAGATAGTGATATCTAGCTAGGGATGCTGTAGAATGCAACAGAAATTTTTGGGATTGGAAAGTGACTCATGCGGTGGGAGCTTTCAATCGTCTTACGCAATCAGCAACTTACGATTTTGTACTATTTGAAAAAGCACAGATTATGTGGAAAAATGTGAAAGATTTCTACTGGTACACTAGAGAAAAACCGAATGGAGATTAACGAAGCCCTTATGGTGATGGGTAGTAAACGTGAAGAGTTGCCTCAGTCCTAATGCACTGACTGTTCACGAACTCACAACAAAATATTCTTTTGGTAATTGTCAAATGGTGTTATCGCCAACAGTGTTTGACTACCAGTCAGTTAATGTGTACATTTTGTACTGGTTCTACCACTCCTCCAATACTGTTGAGATATCATTGAAAGTAGAAAATATGCGGGTAGTTTTTAACCATTTATCCCAGTTGGCTGAGTAGTATCGTCAGCAGTAATGAAACTAGACGTAGTTCCTTGTGAGCAGAAGCTAATCATCGGTTGGTATAGCTAGAGTATGGGTTACATACGGCTAGCCTTTTTATAAAATCTCTAAAAACAACCTAACTCACTTATTCTTCAGTGACGTTTAATCCTAGCATAATGAGTTTAGCACGAAACTGCAATTGTTGCTGCTTAAAAGACTAGGTAATCTGAGGAAAAATAGTACTTTATCTCGTTACAGCCAAAATTGTTCACATGTGGTAACACAGAATTAAAGTTCAGTGGCATCTAAGTCGTAACGGGAGCTCGGAAACAGAAGTTTTGTATGATAAGATGAATCGCATGTCACGTAATTTTATCTTTATTTCAATCTTTTTCCCTAGTTAATACCATCTCTGATGTGATTGTTCAAATTTTCGGTCTTCTATACTTTCATTTTCAGTGTCGCGTAGTCTTATTGATGGATATGCAATTTGTACAGACCCTATGTTGTTTCTTAGGTCTTACGGAATATTTTTGTAGTATAGTAATTGCGATAATTTATATATGATTCTTTTACTTTATTTTAGGCTAGTTTGACTGAAGTTATATTACAAGTAATACGCACTGACAATGTTGAAGCCCGAAACAAAGATTGCAGTCAAGTTAATGATCTTGTCTATATTTGTCCATTTGTGGTCGCCAGGCTTTCAGTTTCTTTCGAATCAGTTCACTTACTATAGGTAAAGTTATATACATTTAATGTATTAGTTCTATTATACTGCTTAATCCTCATTGCATTTGAATGTCATTTATTTTACCTGTCTCCTGTCAAAATATCTCATATTTGGTGTTTACCGAGCTTTGATTTTCAGTCGTGTACATTTTAATCATCAAACTAAATGGTACTTTAGGGGCTGCGGGTATCGATGTTCGCGAGTTGTACGGATTATACTAACGCAAGATCTTATACCAACAACCACTATAGTGTTCGTTCTTCGAGTACCAAATGGTAAAGCAAAAGACCAGATTTTGTCGTCCAAATACGATATATATTTTGGGACCAAATCGCGGGTAGGAATGAATGCTTAGCTAGCTAGTAATCGTGCACGCACGTGACACGACGAAGCACCAAATGGCGGGGATGCTTGACCGTAAGCCTTCAGCTAAACAAGTCGACTTAAACAGTGATGGTCAGCATCCAATGTTGAGTGATGATTGCTGTGGTTAATAATTTTGGGGAATTATTTACCGCTACAGCTCACTCCCCCCCTAGTGGGTTTGTGAGGACCCTAAGACATGACCAGCCGGAAGTAAAAAAATCTCGATGGTTCCCTGATGGGTGAAAAAAATCTTCCGAGCGGCTTGATCGAGAGCCTGCTGGTCTGTCTGCCTATGCTAATAGGGTGTCTGTACATAGCTTCCTCAATGTTGTTCGTTGGATCCCGTGCTTCGTTTGTTTCCTGTCCAGTGCCCGTTGCACCTGGAAAAGAAAACAAGAATGCTGAGAACCTTGTCAAGAAAAATGTACCAAATAAGCGTTTTTTTACCAAAAAAAAAATATGACATGCATCTACTATACAGTAAAATAATGTAAAGTTCAAAATATCGGGAAAAAAAAATATACATCTAATTTAATTTTATGTACGGTTATAGGAAAAATATCATTTACTTGTGTTAAATGATGCAACATAAAAAGAATTGATGTGTCACTCAGTTATGTGAGATAGGTGTGAAGGTATTCTGGGAATCTAACGTGACGTCCAGAACGCGTTTTTTTAGAGTGATCGACCGAAGTAGCCAGTGGGCGAATGCCCTGACAGTCAATAGTGTGACTCAGAAAATCGAGTGAGTCAACGCCTATCTGACACTTCTGTATATTGATGGTAACACCATGTTGGCGTAACCTTTCAAATGCCAAGTCCAAGTGTCTAAGGTGAGTTTCCTTATCTGGACTGGCAATGAGGCAGTCGTCTAAGTATGCGTATACAAAGTCGAGACCGCGAAATACTTCGTTGATGAAGCGTTGGAATGTTTGGGCCGCATTCCGGAGGCCGAATGGCATACGTAGGAATTCAAAAAGTCCGAAAGGCGTGATGATAGCCGTTTTCGGAATATCTTCCGTTGCCATCGGGATTTGGTTATATGCTTTAACCAAGTCGATTTTGGAGAATATAGATGCTCCAGATAATGTTGCCGTCAAGTCGTGTATGTGAGGCAAAGGGTAGCAATCAGGAGTTGTTTTGGCGTTCACTCGCCGGTAATCACCAGTGGGTCGCCAATCGTTGCTATCCTTTTTCGGTACCATATGCAACGGGGATGCCCATGGACTATTCGATGGCCGAATGATGCCAAGGGTGAGCATATGATCGAATTCGTTTCTGGCAATTCTCAGTTTGTCAGGGGCCAGTCGTCGTGCTTTAGATGTCACGGGCTGTCCTGAGGTTATGATATGGTGCATAACATTGCTGGTTATGCACGGGAGATCGTTAGATGGGCAATTCAGTTCCGGATATTTGTCAACAATCGGTTGAAAAGTTGGATCGAGGATTGCTTTCATCTTAACGATTGACAAGCTGGGGCCACTGTAAGTTATGCCTTTGATAGACAAACTAGTAGTGTTGTCAATTAATCGTTTACGGCGGACGTCTACGAGCAAATCATGATGATTAAGTAGGTCCGTGCCAATGATGGGCATTGTGACGTCAGCGATTAGGAAAATCCACTGAATAGGTTTGCGTAAACCTACGTTCAGATAGACGTATTTCCGACCATAGGTTGCAATTGGTTTTCCATTTGCAGCCTGTAGGTTGAAGTTAGGATCCTTCTGTCGATCTGCTGCTGTAGCAGGAAGGACGCTGACTTCGGCGCCTGTGTCGACTAGATATCTAGTCTGGCTAATTACATCATGGATGTAAAGTAAGCGGCTAGTGCCACCGGCGACGGTTGCCGCTAACGCGTGCCGGCGGGATAGTTTCCCACAGACTTGGAGGCTTTGCCGAAATCACAAGGTTTTCGACAACATTTCGCTTCCTTGCCATAGGTGTTGTGATACCAACACCAGTCAGGATTTTTGAGAGAACGTGTGTTGGACTTAGATCGTCCACGTGCGTTTTGCCGTTGAGGGGATCTAGAACGACGGTTTGAGGAATTGCTAGGCTTGTTTGACCTAAGCATCTGCTGGACGGAGTTGATTAACTCTATCATTGCAGAATCCTTCTTCGAAGTCTGTTCGGTAACAGAGTATACTTCGGTGATTGGCCGTTTCGTTATCTCTAGAATTCTATCTGCAGAGACAGCTAAATCATCTATGAGAACACCCTGAAGTGTCACAAGTACAGTCTGAACTGACTGTGGCAGTTTGGATAAAAATAGTTCTCTAAACAGTCCTTCATCGAACTGACTTTGGCCAATGATCTCTTTCATTCTTGCCAGCATGCTCACGGCTGACTGATCTCCTAACTCGATGTTACGAAATAACTCATCCAGACGTTGCTGATCTGTGAGAACGTTTCTCTTGAGGATGGATGCTTTTAGCAACTCGTACGAGTTACTTACCGACATCTGCAGAGTTACGCACTTGCTGAATTCCCGCGGTAGGGCGTGAATAACTGCAAGGAACTGTGAACGTTGATCAGTTATGCCATGTTCACAAAAATCGGACTCAGCAATCTGAAACCACGTTTCAGCATTATCTGGCCAAAATGGTACTAGCTGAATTGTTTTGGCGGTTGAGCGAATCTGAATAACCTTGGGGCTATGATCACTCATGACGAAAAGTATGCCGATAACAATATAGTACAAGAATAAACACAAAAAGGAACGAACTCACCGGGATTATCTGCGTGTGAATTGAAGATGTAGTTCGTGGTAGGGCTCACCAGTTTTGAGACTGACGGTATCGACGTTCGCGAGTTGTACGGATTATACTAACGCAAGATCTTATACCAACAACCACTATAGTGTTCGTTCTTCGAGTACCAAATGGTAAAGCAAAAGACCAGATTTTGTCGTCCAAATACGATATATATTTTGGGACCAAATCGCGGGTAGGAATGAATGCTTAGCTAGCTAGTAATCGTGCACGCACGTGACACGACGAAGCACCAAATGGCGGGGATGCTTGACCGTAAGCCTTCAGCTAAACAAGTCGACTTAAACAGTGATGGTCAGCATCCAATGTTGAGTGATGATCGCTGTGGTTAATAATTTTGGGGAATTATTTACCGCTACAGTACCAACACTCAATTCACGGGTGACCCCCTGATTAAATTAGTGTTGATTTTCTCATGTTCGGCAATAAGAAGTTAACTATCGAATATGAAGTGTCGGAAAACGCCTAACGATTTTCCTTCTCTCCTGATTTACGAACATTCATCTTTTAGAGTTCTTCATTTGTTGCCTTTATTTGTATTGTAGACACACGCGTTAAGCTTATTCACTCCAAATAAGTAAGAAGCCAGGCTACAAGATATATATTTCTCTGACTGTTCTTACTGAAAATTGTAAATTATATCACTGCATATCATTTTCATGTCTATTTTAACGATAAGGCTTCACTCTCGATGTACACGTGGATGAAATTTTCATTGCGTTTATGTTTACATTTTTCGTTAAAGTTGTGTATAAGTCCCAAGTCCCCCTTCCTACATAGTGTAAAACAGTCCTACAGGATACACGTATTCCACGTTGTTTCAAACGTAGATTTCAAAAGTTTGTTCTAGGGAAGTATGTGCTACGGTAGACATTTGGTGGCCTACTTAAGTATTTGTTGGTCAAAAAGTTGTAAACCTGAATGATTGGACTCGTCTGTCACTTGAAAATATGAGTTGTCATTGTTAGTAGCACGTATTAAAGGAGTTGGTTAGTGTTATCAACCCATTTCCAATTGCCGACATCTTACTAGGATATGTATGCTGCATATAATCATGAGTTGAACTTAACCACATAAAATATACTCTTCTGTTGTTTTTGTTACTATAATAGTTTTTGGTCACATAAAAGTACTGAGAGTTGTTTGTAAAAGTCTATGTACAAAAAGGTAGTCACTGCATAAGTTCTTTAATATGCTGAAAGTTTCAATTCAGATTTATGTTACTGAAAGTTTTCTTTATTTTGAACGAAAGTAGTGAAGTGTGTAACATTTTTTAATTTAGTGAACAAAATATCCAGTGTGAAGTTCTGCAGTTGTTTCATAGTTATTTTGCGTTTGTTTGCTTTTTAGATTTCTGACGGATGCAGGTTTGCCTTATGAACCACCCACAGAAAATAAGTATGTGTTATCTCGTTTTTTTATCTAGAATATTTTGTATTTTCATGTATGTATCCAGGATATAAACATATATGTACTCTTGCATGCCGAAAGTTTTTAAATACATGTAGTATTGGTTTGGTCATTCTGCTTTATATTTTCTGTGGTTTCGTTGGATAGAATGGTCACTTTTAATGTGTGGAAATAAATTGATTTAGCCTGTATGCTATACGAATAATAAGGTTTGGGGATGATGAAATGTAGAAACATTCCCCTACTTAATCAATAAGATGAAAGGTTGTTAGGAGATTGTTATCATAATTGTAAACTCGATGACTTGACGACTTGAAATCAAGTCGTTAATAACTGGACATCCGGTTAACACTGTATCACTGTGTTATATTAAAAAATACCTAATATGGATTTGTATCTTATCACAGTGTTCAAATTCTAAACACAACGATGAGTTCAATTTCTTGGACCTAAATGTAAAAAGAAGAAACGATGGAACGGTCGAAAAGTCCATCTACAGCAAAGAAACTTGGACCGGACAATACCTTCACTACAACAGCTTCTGCCCTATGAGCTATAAGCGGGGTTTAGTAAGGACACTGTACGACAGGGCCAGGAAGTTGTTCACCCAACAAGGTAGAAGAAGAATTAAGCTTTGTTGAAAAATACCTTAAGGAAAACGGGTATCCAAAAGGATTTATCCTAAAGTACAACAAAGAAAGAGGTGAGAAAGAGAAGTATCCAACAGTTTAAACGAAGAAAGTGTTCATTTGCCTCCCATACAAAGGAGAAACAGTATCGAAAAAGATTGAAAAGAGGATGAAAAGAACAATAAAGAGATGCTTCCCTGCAGCCAATCTGGTGACATTATACAGTACTACGTGCTCTATAAGCCAATCAAAACTGAATAAGTACCCTGCTGATGTTACCTCCAACTGCATTTATAAATTTACGTGCACCTGCGGCAGCAAATACATTGGAAGGACAGAAAGAAGGGCTTCTATCCGGTTTTCAGAGCATATTCTGAGAAACTTATGCTTAAAAGGAAGCAGATATTTACATAGTGCAATTACCAGACACCTCGTGGATACTGGCCATTTTGTCAAGATTTCCAAATCCTTCAAAATATTAAACATACAAAGGACAGCGAATCTACTACGATTTGCTGAAGCAACTGCAATAAAACGTCTCAGACCAAATTTATGCACACAGAAAGAGAGAGAGTGTAGTCAATCTCTCACTCCCTTTGTTACCATATTACTTTCATTACACTGATTACTCATACACACTAGTGAGCTCAACTCACTAAGCAAGTTTTCAAATTGATGAACTTTGACCTTGTTCAGTCGCCATGTTGACACTTGATTAGATTTTTCTGTTCTCTGTCTTCTCTCACCCCCCCTTTTTTCTTTTTTCATAGTTTGATAGTATATAAATTGATGATAACTTAAACTATAAATTTTAATCCTTATATTCCGGATGTGTTCATCTTATAATGTTTTCTCTATTACCTTTCAAACAATGAAGTATGAAATGTTACTATTTATAACCATTGTAATTTCAGGTAGTTTGCAGCTGATGAGAACCTGTGAAATAGAATGATATCATTTTATACTACAAATCTGGTCTTTCTTTCTCTATCGAAATTTATCAAGGGAACCAAATGTATGAAATTCTACTCTTTTATTAATCCTTCTAATAAGATTTTGGTAATTATGAAAAAGAAATAAGACTTTCGTTTGTGTAATAAGAATGGACTGCCCTTAAATCCAAAAAATGGCAATTAACATAAATCGTGGAGAGGTGGCTGACTAATCAGTAGCTCTTAAGTTCGAATGTCTGCGCATATTGTATCCTGGGCGACTTATTAGTATCAGTAGTATGGCTGGTAGCCTCGTACGTGGAAGATATATTCCGGGTAACTGCATCCTTGTTATATCACAATACTTGATACATGATGGGCATGAAGAGGTGCATCACATAAAATCTCATAGTTTATGAGCGGCCAGGGATGCTGCCCAGACACCCAGACCAAAGCAGTTTGTTGTCTTAAGGAACCACCCTCGAGTCCTTGACTCGAAATCTAATCCACAAGGCAGTGGAGCAGCGTCAGGAGCTACGTTCCATGGTTACCGCTGACCGAAATTGGTTCATATGCCATTCGATCTTTTCAGATTCTTGTGTTCATGTAAACCTCAGGTTTGGAATCAAGGTTTTACAGCTCTCTTAGGGAGACCTGCATGTCCACCGGTCTCGTCCGCATTCGCTCTTTCAATTTCGTGAGGAACATCACCCGCTTGAAGGCAGTGAATAGGACTCACCTAGCAGAGGTTATGAAGACGTGACCACATCACGGCACTTCGAGAGGAAGGCTGAAGTCTACCCACCCTCGGCTGTACGAGATTGTTTCTATGAGCAACTGAGTTGTAACTAACCAGTTAATATAAACCTTTCTTTTTATTGTTTACTTTTGTTGTGCTTAACATCGTAGTTCCGCACTTCAGAATTGACTGGGGATATTTGCAAATATATTTTCTGTTTTAATTTTATTCCTCAATAGTTCTATTGTTTAAAATTACATAATCTTTCGGCATTTAGATCCCTTCCTGATCCAGATAAGGAACTGAGAGATGAAGTTCAAAAGAAGACAGCACATTTTGTTCCACTATTGAACATTGCTCTATTGCTCCCCGGAATCGTGTCATCATTTATCATTAGTTCTCTCTCTGATCATTATGGTCGACGTCTAGCAATGGGAGTTTTATTTATCGGTTTAACCTCGAATGTAATAATCTCATGTAAGACTGTTGTTGTTTCTTTTCAGTGAGAAATATGTAATAATGTTGCTTTTAGTGATTTTCTACGTAATTTCTTCTTTGGTGTCAACTTGCTCTTCAATACAGATGTATTTAACACCTAATGAAACAGTCTTCCTTGGCTAAGCACTTCAGTATTATTTTACGGCTCTTCATGTGGCATAGTTTCCCCCCTGCTATCTAGTATTATCTACTAGTAAACTTTTATTTTTTATTATTTAGTAAGAAATTTGACAAGACTAAAATTATACCATAGGATTCCAGTGGATTTATTATCTTTGTCATAATTTATTTAATTTAGTCCAACTTTTTCAAGGTTAAGCCAGACTAAAGTCAGCAATTTTCTGACTTCATAAGTTAATCAACAAGGTGATAACTGTCATCGTATAATATTCCCTAACGATTTATTCATGAAGTATTATTTTTATTATTATTATTGTATGATATTGTGACTTTTTTGAGTGTTACCGTGTTAAAATACGAGAAATGTATACACATACATGTAACAGTGAAAGTAAACACATTTCTGTTAATTATTAGTCTGATCACTTTTCTAAATTAATAATTATAGTATTGATTTGAATTGAAATGTACATAAAATAGGTTTATAAAACTCTAGCACTTTGTAACCAGTATTTTAACGAATTTCAGCTAACGCCTTCAGAAAGTGTAGTTTCGAGAAATTATGTTAATATCTAAAACAATTCGTGTTTAATTTTAAATTCCGAAGGTAGTTTCTCACCGATTGTTTGTTAGCCTATTTTGTAACCATAATTAGAAATTTGAGTTAAGGCAAACGGTCAAATAAATTTTCCAATTACTTGTTCATAGGCTGACATAAAACAATGAGCTATGTAGTGTAGAGACAACTCTTATCTGTAGTTTGTCACCAGTGTATTTATTTTTATTTTGTCTACGTTATGGACACTGTGCAAGCCACCTTATGCTCAGTTGGTCATTTTAATTCAGATCGTAAAAAGAGATTCTTTGCTGTTCTACTTTTAGCCTTTGTAATTTTGCTCGAACTGAATATAAACTTTTTAATTCTGGCATGTTTAATGTCTGGTTGTTTCGGCGGCGGATTGCTGTCATACTCAGGTCAGATAGCAGTTTGTTGTACTGATATTACAAATATTCCCAGTGAAGAAGAGCTGGTGCTAGTTAACTCTGAAAATATACAGGCATCAATGGAACGCCGTCGTCTTCTGTATTTGGGTGTTTACGATGCTATTTGCGTTCTGTCATCAGCTGCAGCAATCACTGTCACAGGTAATAGTCAAAGTGCAATGTATATGCTTGATTTTTGGCCTATACCTGTTTTACGACTTGTGGAGCAGTTTGCTTCTATGCGCATTTGGTGATTTATTCTGTTCTTCTGACCGATTTCATATATCAGCGTAATGGTAGTGGTAAATTATCTACCATTTTATCACATAAGATTATTCTATAATGGAATTATATTTTACCAAAGCCCCCAACATATCAACTTTGTTTGATCAGGTCTATTTGGATTTTGTGTAAACCACTTCTAATAATGAATTTATAAAACGTTTCATTAATTTTTAATGTCTTGGTTATAGTGTATTTAGATTTAGTCAGTAGAATATATCCTAAACTACAGTGAATATTCATTTTATTAAAAGTACAGTGACGGTGACTACTAGTTTGAAACGTTTCTATGTCAACCATCAATTAAAAAATAAATGACATAACTTGTGATCGATTGTAATGCAGCGCATCCTACTGTAATTTCTCTTAGAAATAATAGGTATCATTTTCCTAATATAGTACTTATTTAGGTTTACTTCTCGTATCTAAATGGCGTAAGACATATCCTTCAGTGTTTGCTCTGTTTTAGAAAGACTTTTGAATATGTGATGTCTTCTTATTAGTTTTAAGTACTGCTTTCCACAAAATTTATTTTGTCTGTAGGTGTGCTGATTGACCACTACGGATTTGTAGCAACATGCTTAGTACTACTATCTCTTTGTGCTTTGTCCATGGGTATTCTGTGGTGTGTACCGGAAACTCAGCTTATTAATGTCCAAGTGAATAGCCCTCCAGTTGTTGGTGATAATCTCGGTGCTGATGCATCTCCGTATGTAGATGTCAATCACAGTGATGTTCATTTTCTTTCCAGTGACCAGTTAGAATCAAATATTAATAGATGGCTGTCAAAATTAACTTCGATGTTTCGTGTGAGTTGTCAAATAAAATGTTCTTAATTTATTATTTTTAATAGAAATTTAAGTTTCTAGAATGTTTCTAAACGGCTTACTTCAAATTCGAGTGTAGCATGTGTGTTGATAGCTGATGGTCTCAGTTATGTGTTCCCTTTGATTGATTAACGTTTTGGGTTACTCCCCTTTCTGCTTTATTTTCACCCTTTATATGCCGCAAAATCATTTTGTTTCAGTAGCAATAATGTACCTACAATTCTTTTCATGTCCATATCATATAACTTTAGTCGAGATTTCAACTTGCTTATGATAGTCTAAAAGTATAAATGTATTCAAATTACACAGTTTCACGATCAGATAAGTAAAGTCATTTGGAATCTTAAATAAACCTCAAATATCAGTTTGCTCCCTTAAAGTAATCTCCAGTATTTCAAATATTGTCTTTGAATTCACCTTTGATATTCAGGTTTACTCTTATAAACAAAAAACAGTAACTGCCAAATGACTGTATATTTATTGTTGAAAGGACTGTGGTAAAACTTTTCCAGTGGAAAAGTAGCATTTTCGAGGATTAAAGAATTCCTCCCTGTCCGTCTGATCCACACACAGCAGTGATTATCTAATAACGAACGTAATGAAGAATATAGTAAAATAACCGAATTAACTGACTGAATTTGAACATGGTAATTTGCACAGGAGTGCAACAGTTCAAGTTGTCACACTCCATGTATTACACAAAGATGGAGAAAAAAAAAGAAAAAAATTACTATATGTGTAAAACTTGGGCACTGTAGTAGTAAGTGATTCCATATTAATTTGTTTATATCACACAGTGAAACAGTATTATTATTTACTGGATGACGTTTCGAACAAAATTTATTGTTCCTAATCATATCAATTATAATCAAACGACTTCGAAACTTGAGTTTTATAGTTTTCTTTGTCCTCTCCTATTTGTCATCGTCGGGGCAGTAGAATTTTCCAGATATCTGGGACAGGTGTTGAATCATTCCTATTACACGTGTTTGCAGTTGACTCGATAAACAAAGCTTCTGTTATCAATCCCTTCCTCCACCCTGTTACATTAGGTTTTAAAACTGTTATCTTATCCCATCCTATTATATGTTTGTGTGTAACTGCATATAGTGCTATAGCTGAACTATTCTCTAGATTTCTTATCTGAGACAGGAAGTGAGGCATATAAGAGAAGCTTTGAAACTTAATAATTACCCTAATAAATTAGTCAGAAAGTATGTTGGGAAATGTAAAAATAAAATAAATAGTAATAGTAGTGATAGTGATAATAATAATGATAATATAATGACAATAATGCAATAAAACCTTGCGGTGGAGAATTCTTAACAATTCTGGCAGGGATAAAAGTGTTTGACATTCAAACCCACAAACTCAATTAGAAACAAGCTTTGTCGGTTAAGGGATCCTGTGGAACCTTTAAAAGAAAACAATTCAGTTTATCTCATACCCTGCAATGATTGTCAGGTCAAAGTAGTATAACAGAGGCAGTCAGACTAGCCGAACATAAAAACCTAGCGAAATGTAGATTGATTGACCCGAATAAGATAAGACATCTAGAGAATAGTTCAGCTATAGCACTATATGCAGTTACACACAAACATATAATAGGATGGGATAAGATAACAGTTTTAAAACCTAATGTAACAGGGTGGAGGAAGGGATTGATAACAGAAGCTTTGTTTATCGAGTCAACTGCAAACACGTGTAATAGGAATGATTCAACACCTGTCCCAGATATCTGGAAAATTCTACTGCCCCGACGATGACAAATAGGAGAGGACAAAGAAAACTATAAAACTCAAGTTTCGAAGTCGTTTGATTATAATTGATATGATTAGGAACAATAAATTTTGTTCGAAACGTCATCCAGTAAATAATAATACTGTTTCACTGTGTGATATAAACACACTAATGTGGAAGGAAAATAATTAGATAATCGTTGAGTTGAAGTCGCTTTTGTGTTTTGGCAAATATTCACAGGCACTTGACTGAGAATAACGTGATTTATTACTAAAATAAAGTACATTATCGTGAATTGAATGCATATAATTTGGAGTTTTTAAACATCCATGTGATTTTAGTAATCGATTGATAGGCAGGTTTGTGGTTACATGTAGCTGAGATGCTGGTTAGCCACTTCGTGGATGTTAGTTACTAATTAGTCTCAGGTCTATAGTTATTCTACATATCACTGTTCACAAAGCTAGACAGAGATTAATTGGCCAGAACACTGTTATTGTGATTCCGGTTTTCCCTACAATTGCAATTATTTAACTTCTGTGATCTGCACTATTTGTGTTATGAAATTAACATGTCGTATAATGTAGTACGTACATTGGTACTGGTAGTTGATTGTCCTATTTTATGAGAAGAGACAGGATTTTTCTAGTGATAATTGTAAACTAATAGGCCTACATTTTATGCTGTTCAAAATCCGGAGGTATTGAATTATAAATATTATCTAAAGCCAGAGAATGAGAAACACTGGAAAACTATACTGATTCGAGGCCTGACTATAGTTTTACGGCAGGGATTTTTTCCACTCAAGTGATTGCAGCCTGAAGGTGTAGCGTTTTGCAAAGTATGCCGTACTACAAATAGCTTCAATCTAAGCAACTCAGCAGAAAGGTGTATGGATAGCACAATTATCTCATTATTACCCATTGTGTGTAGTAAGACTTTTGATTATGCAGTGTAGGTTTCATCATCAGCGAAGTACTTTTTCCTATGAGGTCTCAAACCAATAAAGTCTGTATATACACCGTTTCAATCATTAAAACCCCACATTCGTTACCATGACGAATTAAATAAAGGAATGCAATTATGCTGACTTTTTAAGAATATAAATTAAGATTGTGCAACTTTTGAGAATGAAGTGGCCGAAAAAAATGTATTGATTGAACTTCTTGTTTTATCTTTAAGCATTGTAGGCTAAGATGGTTCACGTGAAAATTTGCTTCAAATCTTAGAAACGTTTTCTCCATTGTGGTTCATTTTCCATCCTAATTTGTTGTTTACTTCGAACAATATTATTTTCGCCTGTTTTATTTATTTATCTTTTTTTGCGAATTTACTTCAGCAATTGAAAACTGCATTTTTTTTTTTCTCTGATTGTAGTTTGTCCGTAATGCCAATGTGACTACTATTTTCATCATTGTAGTTTTGTTTTTAACAACTCTAACTACCTACGGTGAAGGGCAGTATACATTTTTGTACCTTATGGGACCTCCATTTAATTGGTCAGTGGATCAGTATGGATATTATAGGTACGTTGAATTCAATCTCATCGATGCAGAGTTAATATGATTTATTTATTGTGTTTCTGTAGCACAAAAGTATACATAGTGTTTATTTTTTCTTTTATTAGTGGGATTAGTAATGCTCTTCTGGGTTTGCTGAGTTTTATACTGATTATGTTAACCATTCATTGGATGAAATTAGTTAAACAACCTCAACCGAGTGAATCTACATATGAACCACTTCTTACCAACCAATCAGTTCCAAGCTACAATTCTGTACATGAAGTTGATTCGATTGAATTTACTAGAAATAGGAGAGCAATCAATCGTATTATCCAGAATCAAGTATTACGTGCTCGTCGTCGTACGATTAAATATGCATTACTTGGAATGTTCTCAATTGTTGTTAGTAAACTCCTCATGGGGATAGCCTACTTGTTCTCTTATCCCGGCCACAATATTTTGATATTCGTTAGTAAGTTTTTTTGTTGTTGTTTTGTTTATTAGGCTTATTATGCTTTTGTGTGGAATTATCATATTCGCTTCTTACGTTTGCATATTCTTAGAGTAGATAGACTTCATGCTAATAGTACAGCTGTAAAGTGATAGTTAATAACTTCTGGCTATTTCAAAGAAATCTCTCTTGACTCAGCTGAACGGTTTTATATTCAGAAGTATTTCACTTGCATTTTTCCATCCCCATGCAGAACGTTATTCAGTGTACTACTATGATATCACATGGTTGGAGGCAGTCGGCAGGAAGCCTTGGACCTAGGTTTCGTGCTGGATGGCACTCGTCAGCAAGGCGTATCTGCGACCTTGAAGGAACTCATCTCCCTTCTGGGATTCGAACTCGCGTCACCCAGTTCTGCAGTCAGAGACGATACCACGTCAAGGGTGTAGATACGCCTTGCTAACGAGTGCCAACCAGCACGAAAGCTAGGTGCAAGACTTCCTGCCGATTGCCTCCAACCATCTAATATCATCAAATCAATACACACCGTGATGGCGAGCTAACTAGAATGGTGGCCACGTTGCAAACGTGACATAGAATTCAGTCTGCACCAAAGAAAGGACTAGACACACCACACTAGTTACTAGTGTCCAATCAAAGTGTACTACTATTCTTATGCTGGGCAAAGTAATGCTTTCGCACTGGAGATGTGGTTCATTGTCATAAGCACTCGACTTCCAGCTAACAGTTCCTCGGTTCGAATCTCACTTCGCCTACTACAGTCGCATAACTGGATGTTTCCAGCCCTCACACAATAATTATGACTCGGAGCCTGCTACATGTCTCGGTTAACTGAGTTTTCGAACAAAAGCAATGATACAGAAATAATACAAACAATAGTTAGAAAAGCTGACCAGAGATTTATCACCTCAAATAAGACTCCCATTATTCTGTTCTATAGCTTTTAGGGCAACTATCGTCGTACTTACAGCAACTGATGTAGTTACCACCTTTACAGTCTGTTTGGGAGGCAGCGTTATAATGCATGGCTTCGAACTAATAATCTGACATAGTTCACTTGCTGTAGTATGTGGATTTTCCTTCTGTCCTCTTTTATGATTCGTACAATAATAAATCCACTAAGAAATCACTCGCTCACGCCCAATTGGCCCTATGGATGTCAGTACTAGTGACAAATACTGGAGAACTATGCAAATTTGAGCTGTGAATGTATGGATGTACGGCAACTGTTTGGATGCGAAGATGTTTGCTGTACATTTGCTGTCAGGTCTCAAATTAGCATGCTTCTCTAATGTTTGTAATCAATGATGGTCCAACTTGTTATATTATTTGAATGTTTCCTCAACGCATATCCAATCCACTTCCCTTTCCTTCTAGATATTTGTTATGCAATTGGTTCTTGGTTGGTTCCCCGCTCTGACAGAGTTCCTTGTTGCCTGCTTATCCTTTCTGGTCGGCCATCTGATTTTTCACTATTGGGCAAAGGGGAGGTGTCTTTCTCTGGAAATCTGAAGTAGGCTGTTGGAAATACTTTTAATGATGCATCAAGTCAACCTAGTCGTGAAGGTTTTTGCATTAGACAGCGATCCAGGCGTATATCTGCCGTGTCCTTGTCTCTTCAGATTCAGATGAATTCTGTCTGAATTTTGTGTTTCCATCTATTGGATATCCCTGTGATTGTACACACTGCCTCCAACCACCAAATGATTAAAGGTGTTGTAGTCTGTAAATTGTTCTCATTCATTTTATCGAGCCCTGTGTCTTCTGCTCCTAGTTTGGAATTCTTGTCACCTAATAAAATTTTGTTGTACCCATGAGACCAAAGTCTTGTCTATGATTGCCTGCAGAAATCTTCCTCCTTTTTTTTTCTTAGTCTACTTTGGTTGTAGCATTGTTCGGAGTCTTGTATGATTATAAATTTCTTTCTGAGTTGATAGTTAATACTGTAAACCTGGAAGATATTTTTCCGAACCGATCCTGTTGGTAGAATCATGTTAGCCACACAGTCAAATCCTTAATGGTTGTTGTCCGACTGACTGGAATGGATATTATTGACTCTTCATTTAACAATTTAGAGAGTCGTCTTTTCGCTTCATCCACTCTCAGATTCCTAACAATTCTACTATTTCTACTAGTAGATTTTCTCGATGGTTGTTGTGTTTTCTAAGGCAATCGTTGTAGACATAACACTTGTCTCTATACTTTAAATGATTTTGTTTGTCTCTTTATGTGTAGTTGTTTTCAACTATTGATTTGCTTTCGTTTTAGGTCTAATCGTTTGTACTTTTAGATCAGCTGTTGTACCAGTACTGAAATCATTTGTATCAACTCTTTACAAGTCTAGATTACAAAGTGAGTGACTAACCACTTCATTTTTTATTTCAGCTTTCCAAACTCTAATATACGCTGTTTTTAAAGAGGTAGACGGTATGTGTATACGTGTATGCACTTGCTGGTTGTAGGATTACTGTTTGAGCCAGAAGTCCGATTGGGCTGGTTCTTTATTTTTTTTGTTTTAGAAAATTCAGTCAAATGTATACTTCTACTTATTCGGTTGGTGCTAACATTCGCACTTCATAGAATATTGTTTGCATTTCCAAACTGCATGTTTGATTTGATTTTCATTTAAAAAAAATTAAAACACAAAGCCTGGTACAATATAGCACCAAAAAGATGCGCCACACAATAATAATACAACAACATAGGTTAAAAGTAAAGATATAGGTGGAGAACGGATAAAGAACTTCATCTGGGAAGAAGGTAGTTATATTTCAGGGGACCAAACGGCATTCGTCGAATCATGTTGAGAAAGGGAAGAGGGAAGGAAATTGCATCACATTCCCCATTGATTGAGATTCTTGGCCATGTCCAATAAGGTTTCGAGCCACTGGTTTGAGCCGTGTGTTGGACCCCAACCACGGAGTCGTAACTCACTATGCCAACCTACCACAAATATCCCTCATTCCACAACGCCACGTCATCGGCTGAACACCTCTGCTTTTTCTATTCACTTCTAGCGCTAGCGAACAGAGATTGGTATGGAAGCCTCTGGGCAGGCATTCATAGCACATGTCCAAACCACTGAAGCCGATGTTTCCAGATGACACTCAATAAATCATCTCCACTGTGTCCAAACACACGTTCTTATGTTGCATTAAAATGATCTCTTTGCTCTAGGGTTACACAAACACTACACTCTTTTCAAATAAAAATGGACTGTGAGACAGCCGGTCACCGTTGATATGAAGAGATTACTGGCTTCCGGCTATATATTTCTTGGTTAACGTTAGGTAATATGGTAAGTATGATATGTAATAATAAGGTTAGTTATGGTGTTGGCTAAGCTGGGATTACACTGTGGAAGACTATCGGTTGAATTGGCTAAGACACGTGCACTGCGTACCGATTCACTTCCTTTATTGACAAGCGATATTAGTTCGAGTAGGTTTGTCTCACTAAAACATAATTTCAAAGCCTGAAATAACTGACTGTTGGTCTTAGCTATGTAAAGAGATACAGGTTGCCTGCTTGGGTTATTTAGGACTCTAAGTATCAATGACTGGAGACTCTTAGTATTATAGCTTCAAACTGTTCACAATCTCCGAGATGTATCCTTTCTGTATGCTTCGCTAACCATTGTTCAGTCAATATCTTCATCTGAACCATGTTTATTTACTGTATCATTGCGTTTTTGTTCTTTTGTTTTGTGGTTTTTTGGAGTGTGGCAATTTGAACTGATGCACTTCTGTGTGAAGTTCTGTTTTGATTTATATGCCATACCACGTCAATTGTGATGATGAGCATCGTTAGTTAATGCTAGTTTCTTCATGTGCATGACTAGTTACACTTTGTTTAAGAACTGTTAAACGTTTTCTTGCTGTCATCACAATCACAATGTAATGAATTAGACTGATGCATAATCACTATCGCGTTATATAGTTTCCATGGATTTTTATATTCTATTTGCTATCATCTACATCCTGTAATGATGTTCAACTCAGTTAGTAATTGTTCAATTAAAATTCATTGATTTCAACAGCATTCATTATTGTTACTACTGCATGTAATTCTCTTTTGTCACAATATTTTCATGGATTGATTTTTATCTTGTCTCGCCTAGTTATCATTTTTTCCAGTTCCTGTTCACTCGCATGTATCTAACCATTGTGTGCTGATGCAATAAGTACTAGGTCTTTATGCAAATTTCGATGTTTTTTCCATGCGATACATTTGTAACTTCGTTTAGAATAATATAATAATAATAATAATAATAATGTATACTAAATAAGGTTTTATGTGAGCTTATCTGATAGCAGCGCACAGTGATACACTGTTATTAAGTGTACGAATAAGCTATCACTCATTCTAAGACAAAATACACAACTTTCGATTTTAGTAATAGGTGGAGTTTTCTATTTATCGAGGATATGTACGGCATCCACTATACTGAATGCGTTGACTGCTGAATAAATTATTTAGTATTATGTGATAAATATCTGTATCTGTCTCTCTCTCTCTCTCCCTCTCGATCGATCGGTTGTATTCATGTATAGGTTGGTTCTGTTATTGTGTCAATGCATACGTAGTATTATTTTAGACGTCTCATAGATAATTTATCTTGGCATGTCTTAACTTTAGTTTAGTTACCTTCGTGTTCTGATAAAGTGATTTGACCTCGGTCGACTGGTCGGACCTCACAGTTAGTATGTTGTATTTGATAAAGTAAGCTATTTTGTTAGTGGGGTTAATAAAATCTTTAGATCAATTAATTTAGTTTCTCAATAAATCTGTTGGGTTAAAAGTCACTCTAATAGCAAGCCGATTAAAAATCTCAAGTTGGGTTTCTGATTTGCAGTAGATTCCTCAATGTGTATGTAATAAAAATGTACATACTGATTGGTAACAGTTGAGCTTTGATAAAACACATACCATGCTATACTGGTAGATTCTCTAGGTATGTTACTATTTCTGTTATTATATGATCGGTTACATTACGCCCAACACTATACGTGTGGCAAGAATCAAGCAGTTGTTTGTCGGAATGTTGTGGATACCAAGTAGAACATTTAGTTATAAAAATATGTTAAAATCTGGTTAACAATAAATTGAAGAAGTAGAGGTGATTAAAGCATGAATAATCAATCGACGAAGTTGTGAAGCTACATTGACTGAAATAGTTAGGACATGTGTTACGCATGCCTAGACATTCATCGCCTTCCTCGACGGGCAATATTAAGTGACACAAGGTCATTTTGGAAAAGAGCTAGTGGTGATCAAACCGAAACATGGCTTCATCAGTCAATCAAATCCACAACAGTTAGTTTAAGGCAGCCAGCCAGTAACGTAGGGAGGTGTAGACTTCCTGACTGGTTGTGGTCATCAGGATGGTAAAAACAGTGGCTGGAGACGGTGATGTGGCTCAAAATCGTTGTCAATGCATAACGCAGATATGCATTCACTCTTTGTAATTTATCCTATCCAGTAAAATTCTATTTTTCTTCCATATTAATATTCCTTTATCGCTCACACTTCTGTTCATTATCTGTCTCTCTTTTGAATGTGTGTTTACCCTCTTCTGTTGCTTTGTGTGCTATATGGAGGGAGTGTGGCAAGTTGAACTGCTGCACATCTGTGCAAACTTCTATGTTGATACCAGTCAGTCAAGGCATGAATGTAGTTAATCTGTATCCCGGTCATTTTGTGTTTTCAGAGAACAAGTAGTTCAGTCACTGTAGAAATAACATTGGTGAGTCCAGGACAGCATGTTATTCAACTCAGTTCGTGCAATTTACTTTCGCTGTGTATATCCAATGAGTTGTTCTCCAATTTCTTTGGCATCTTTGCTTTTCTTCAGTGTTTAGTAACAGTATTTCCTCTGTGTTTTTCTGCACAATATTTACTGTTGCTTATCAGTTTTTATTACCGCTTTGTAAACGTCGTACAATGCTGCTTGATCGTATTTCTATAATAAGTAGCTCTGAGTACAACTGGTGACTATGCATACCTGTACCGTAACATATTGGATTTCGCAGTCAGAATTGTGACTTATGGCAAATAACGATTGCAGTAAATATCTGTGATATCTTATCCATCGGGTGTTTCATTTCTCCTTATATCATTTGTGTATCTGATCAAGATGGTGCGTCGGAGGTATAGCGGTTAGGACACTCGCCGACCATGCACATGGTCCGGGGTTCGATCCCCGGCCGACGCACTCCTTTACCTCGCTAAGCCAGAAATAATGCTGGTGAAGAGGGGTGGTTGGGCATGAGGCTAGCAACCCCATCCTGTAAAATAAACACTACTACAGAAACTTCAAGCCACTAGCTTGAACCCCTATGTTCCACTGGGGAACGTGAAGGAAAAAAAATATCACAATAAAAAAGCTCTTCCGAATAGTAAAACGCGAACACCACACAGGACGATTTTGTTTGTCATGTGGGCAAGACAGTTTGTAGTTTAAATACGTCAAGGAAATAGAGTGATGATGATTTCAAAGCCAGGTATTCTATCTTAGATTCATTTTGTTTTACGGTTTAACGTAACTAATCCACCTTATTCATTTTTCAACTGAAACGTGTAGTCGATTTCATCTATTTCTTAGTTTAGATATCTAGAAAAGCCGAAAACATACTGTGTTTTCGATGCAATGAAAGTTGCATTTACATGCATCTACCACTTTTTTTGTGACAGAATTGAATATCCTGACTGACTGAGTGACCACATTTTCAAGGCAAACTTTTACACAAATCGCCACACTTCATGAAAGTACACGTAAAGGTAAAGGAAAGAACAAGAAATACAAGCAAACTATAATAAACGGAAATGTACGGGAGAATAAGTTGGTACATGGAGAATTTCGAGAATCTGATGGGTTCTGGAATTTATTTTCGCCATTGAGAACAATTTTTGACCAACAGTCCTGAGTCATCGGTTACTAGAACCTCGAGGACCTTAACCAGACAATTAACGCCTTCCTATTTGGTTCAAAGGAACAGTCAAAAGCTTCATTGGTTGACGTCATTTTTCGGTCTTTTTCATTCTAATCATGTGTCAGGTAACATTGCACCATAAGTTTCCAAATATACATAAACTCGGCTGTTGTTAAGAATATTGGCAAAGCTGTTTGCTTGTTTGTGTGTTTCTCATCTTGAGATTCGAAATCTGTAAAATTTAGACATTTGAATAACTAATATCGATCCCCCCAGTATATATATATATATATATATATATATATGATTATTCACTCGTTCATGCAGTCGTTTTCCACTTCTATGTTTAACTGAATTTCGAGTCTCATAATTGATTATATTTCAGGTCGTCTATTTTCTGTGGTTGCTGCATCCGAATACTTGGGTCTTTTAACTGGTATGGCAACACTGCCTTTTATTTATGCTGCTAGTGTCAGTTACTGTTCCGGTACAGTGTTCATTGTATCCTCAGGTTTGGCGTTGATTGCTTTTGTACTGTTACTGTGAGTGAAGTTTTAGCATAACTCCCCAAGTGATGTTAATTTAACGATTAAAACTGAAAATATTTTTTCAAATGTGTGAATATCTGTCTGTATTAAATGTGAAAGTAATGTTGGAAAAGAATTCTGGGATTAGTGCTGACCTGTGATTAAATATACACCAAAGTAAATAGAAAAATCGTCAAAAAAGCCTGATTTTTAAAATACAGTTATTTGAACTGCAAGGCGGTTTCGGAGAAGTAATGATGGCGTGAATTTAAAAACACCTTCAAGTACAACTGGCCATGGGACTAAAGAAGCAAACCTTGTCGGGGCAGAGAAGGCAACAGAAAAACTGGTCGTCTTGAAGACTCTATTGAAAAATTGAGCGAAAGCTGCCTGCGACATTTTGTTTGGAGTCTACGTAGAGACGTCGATGGAGAAGACTATTAGGTCGTCGGTGTCAGAGTTCGACAACGCGACAGACAGACAGACCAGACAAGTTGCAGAAATCTAGGAGTGTACGGGCGTGATGCATACGATGGTCTTCACTTCTCCTTGTTGCAAATTAATCTACCGTTCCATCATCAATCAAGCTTATTGCAGAAGACGTCACCAGTATACTACTTATAAACTCTTGTCCGTAGCACATGCCACACTAATATCCATTAGTAATTTACTCATTCATTTTAGCGTATACAAGTGACTTTTAAACTATTAATAGTGGTATTCTTCCACCAACCTTATCCATTTGGATTATGACGTGTCGTTTAAAGAAAGGCATGGTAGTAGGAAATTCAACTGTACGAATTAGAAATGTCCAGCAATGTTGATGACAGTAACTCTATTGTTATCTGTACTTTCCTAATTCTAATCGGTAAAAATTTTTATTTCTTTTTACTGTTCCTTTCCTTCATTCATTCAGGTACGTGTCTCGTTACACTAAGGTTGAAATTCGAAGGATTAATCTCAATCAGCCTAATGTTGTAGAAGTTGGCGAATAACAGAAAACCACTGGATGCTTTTTGAAAGTTTTTATCTCATCATTTTTGAAAATCTCATCGTGTTTTTGTATCTTGTGAACAGCATTTCATTTTGTATCGACTTTATTCTCTTAATGATACCGACTTTAATTGAAATATTTTGTATTTGTAAGATGAAACTAAAGATCTGAATCGTTTCCTTTTAAGAAAAATACATGCTTATAATTTTTGAAATGTCATTCACTTCATATTCATATCATCATTTAGTGGCATAATGAGTGGCAGCAGAGATTCTTAAGATTTTCCGTTTATTCTGTCAACGATCAACCCGCTGGTACTGGCTGATGCAACTTCCCAAATAAGTAGAGTGGTCAACACGTTCAGTGACCGCCTCACTCCCTATCTATAAGCTAGGAGTCAATGTAGTCCATTCCTGTAGTATCATCTTACATTTGACAGAAGCAAATCGTATGCCAAACATTCGAAGGTTTCTGCTCAGCTCAAGGTGTTCAGCAGACTGCTCTATTTTATCAGTGTCTTCAGCCAGCAGGAAGGATTATGTCATCTGCATATTCTAAGTCAACGAGATTACTATACCCTGATGGTAATAAATCAATCCCCGATTCACTGAAGTGAGTTAGGGTTAAGTCCTTTAGTACATCTATGATGGAATTAAACAGATATGAGGACAGTGGGCATTCCTGACGGACGCCACTAGTTTTCACCACTTCAGGTGGCAACTCGCCGTAAGCCCTCACCTGGCTGGCTGCATGAGTTCGAGTAGAGTGAGTGCCTTGATCAGTGCAATGTATTTTCTTGGCATTCCCTTCACAGCCGAACATCGCCGTAGTACCTCTAGGTCGATGGAATCGAATGCCGCCTTTAGGTCAAGAAATATAACGACTGTTGGACACCGGTAAGTATGCCACCTGTGTTCCAGAATCTGTCGAAGGGTGAAGATATGACCAATACACCCTCTTCCTGGTCTAAAGCTTGCCTGGTTCTCTCGTGTTTGTGCCTCCCGAGTATAATTATTGAGCCTAGAACTTGAGATACTATACTACTGAAGCAAATCCTCCTGTGATTATCACAGGAAGACTTGTCTCTCTTCTTGTATATCAGGATAATCAATGACGAGACTTCCTCCGATTCCCAGACTATGCCTAATACCTTAGTTGACGCAGACAGTAAACTACCTGCACCGTACTTAAACACCTCTGGAGTGATTCCACCAGGCCCTGATTCTTTGCCTCATTTCTGACTAGTAACAGCCTTAGTATTCTCAGTCAGGGACAGAGGACCTCTTTCTATATCCCATTCAGGGAGGTGTTAGATGTTCGGTAGGTTGAGCGTGGCTGTAGGCCAGTTAAACTGCTCCTCAAAGTATTCTTTCCAGCGTTCCAGTTGTCTATCCTGGGAGCTAAGTATGGTGCCATTTTCCTCAGGGATTGTTTCACCTATCATTTGTCTTTTCCCACCTGTTTCCCTGATAAGTCTAAATAGTTGTCTGGTGTTACCGATCGCTGATGCCTTTTCCATCTCTTTCGCTTTTGTCGCCCATCACTGTTCACGGTCGTTACGAAGGCTCCTTGTTAATTTGCGTTTGAGTAGCTTTCACTCCTCATCATAATCGGAGCTCACCGGAATCAGTCTTCCTGGGTCGATCAGCTCGGATGAAGTAGTAGATATCCATTGGCTCTCACTAACTTTTAGTTTTAGGTTATCAACAGTCCTTTTCGCTGTGTCTACAACTAAGTGTATGTTGTACAAGGCTTCCTCTAGAGGAGTCTTGCTGTCGACCTCAGATACTCGTTTCGCTATTTCTTCCTTAAATAGGGACTCAGTGTCTTGATCAAGTTGGGGGTGTAACTGCTTTTCTGCCAACAGCTTTTTATTTACATTCAGTCGTAAGCATAAACATGTGAGAACCAGAACGTGATCGGAGTCTACACACGTGTTCCAGAAGGAGCGGCAGTCTACTACTTACCCTCGCCAACGATACTCTATCGCTATTTGGTCTATTTGAGTCCAACGTTGATTTCATGATGGCGGTCACCAGATTAGGCAATATCTCTCTTTCAGTCTAAAGTTAATGCTGACTAGGACTAGATGATTATCGGAGCAGAATTGTAGAAGACGGTCAACGTTTTCGGTCCATCGGCACGGAACTCCATACGTACCACCTACATACTTCTCAGTCTGGCACAACTTCCCTACTTGGGCATTGAAGTCACCTGCAAAAACAACTATAACTGAACGTTTTGCTTTTTGCAGCATACAAGACAGTCACTGGTAGAAATCATCCTTTAGTTCATCCGAGCTGCAGTCTGTTGAGGCGTAAACGGAGACTAAGAAAAGACAGCGACGGACCCGTTCAGACGGACCGCACAGGTACGACTATCTACTGGGATCCAGTCAGAAAGTGATTTTTCTGCCATAGCATTCAATGCCATGCCTACATCTACAAGTCCTCGCGAACTAAGTGGGGAGTCTCCTGACACCTTTAACGTGAATTTTGCAGATTTACCTTGTTGGCCGGGTGAGGTTTAGTGAATAACCACACTGAGGTCTTGTATGCATGTCTCCGAAACACAACATAAATCCAAGGCTCGAGATGCCAGAGGTCTTGCTAGTGATGCCTGTTGTCTGATTTAGCAGAGGGGCCTGACGTTAAATTCTCCAATATAAAGTTGGCGGTGTGACTTTAAGAGGCTGTCGGAGATGTTTCTATGGCTCTCATCGTTGTTTGTGGTCACAGACTGAATTGAAGATGCCTCACTAGCCTGAAGAATAGTGCTAACTGTAGTAGGGGAATAAGATGATGAAGGTGATATGGGTAGAGGAGAATGATGTTCAGGAAGGCTTCGTGTGCTCTTGGAAGTGTGTGGGCGGTTGTTACTTCCCGGCTACCCACACCGTGGAAGTTGATTGTTTCTTCGTGTACCTGAAACAGAAAGAGGGTTAATGTTGCGGGACCGCAGAGTCCAGGGTACAACTGCTTGAGGCCGGTCACACACGGCCTGTATGAACTGGTTTCTTGGTTTGTTTCCGTATTAGTAAACTTACCACCGGTCACGGACCACCGTAGGGTAAGTCGGGATGACTGTTTCTAACCCCCTCTCTCCAGAGTGGAGACACAGTATAGCTGGCATGCTGGTCATCTGAAGGAAACACCTTACTGCTGTTACATCTCTGTTCCCCATCAGTACGACTTCACCCACAGACCCCCCAGAATAATGTTAAAAAAATTCCTACACTATACCGTATCGCTATCATAAAAACCTTCCTGACATGGTAGTACCTGCAGGAACAATAGTTCCAGCCAGTGTAGCTTGTTGGGTCATTGCGATGTGCAAGCCCAACCACCACGTCAAGGTAGCAGCTATCGGTTTAGTCCTTTTGAGTGAACCCTTCAGCTGCACTATTCGACCCACAATGATATAGTGCAGATGGGAGTTATTACCGTAAAAAGACTTATAGAAATGGCTTGTTGTGTGTTCTGTTATAAGTTGCAATTGCTCCGAGTAATCCGAAGTGATGGCACACTTATCTCACTTCCCACATTCTATCTGTAACAAAAGTATTTCTGTTTTCAAAATGTATCAGTCTCTCTTGGATGTGGCAACAAAACTAAAATTAAGCTCTAGATTATTCGAGTTCATGCATAGGTTATCAATGTAAATTTCGCTTACACTGGCAACTGGATATTTTCTGTACAACTTTCGTCCATATATTCTAATTCTTTGTTAAAATTGATCATTATACATATCACTGAGCTACTATTACAATGTCCATGTAAAATAATAAACAATTATATTTCCTGCTACTATTTGTCTTTTCCATGAAGGATTATATTTCACACCATTATGTATTGAAGTGTTATAGGTGTATCACAGGGGTATTCCTAATTTGTAATCCATCAGTTATGTGAAATATCAAATCGAATGTTATCTGGTTAATTCACTGATTTGCTTTGACTTAAGTTTTCTAAGTCATAGAAGGAAAATGTAAGGAGTTCAGTTTTACTCACAGCACTTTTTTAAGTTAACATGAAAATTCGACGACACTGGGGTATGAGACACACTAAGTTTTACGGACATATGTTATCAGAACAGTTAAATTCCCAATCACAACAGACTATCAATCATCGATCAATCTACAGTACTACAAAAGACAAATATTCGGTAAAAAAAGCATAAGTCAAGTAAACGTTAGAATTTATGGGCACTTGTATTCCGGCCCAGTGATTGTATGATCAATCAACTTGCATTGTAACCTGAAGGTCCTGGGTTTTATCCTTTGTAAATGCAAATGCTCATTATTCCCAAACGAGGATTAAACAGCTGTCCAGTTCTGCCGGGATTTCAATGGTTCCTTAACTGAAGTCATTTTGTGACCATTTTGGAATCAAGTACAACAGACAATGGTGAATTCGATCATTGTACTGATAGCCTTTAAAGAAAAGAGGTCATTTTCTGCGTCAGATGCAAAACTGAAATTAAAAATCTTTGATTAAGAATGTGAATGGCATTGATTCATCCATCGTAGATTTTCATAGTAACCAGAAACGAAAAGGATCAACCAAAATTGATATAATTGTTAAAAGATATAATATCAGAAACACAAAGATATTTTGTAAATAAGATTGAACATCCTTTTATTACGTAAAGGTATGAAAGCAAGTTGGAACTGGACATAGCGTTTTTCTAATTCATTTAGAAAATTGAAAGATACTGAAAAGAATAAAGACAAATTGAATTTTATGTTCCAAAAACACACGCTGGAAGATTTTGGTAGCACAAAAGGATTTGGGTTAAACTCCGTTGCCAATTTGTTATAACTGAACTGATCTGAATAAATCCGTCGCTGTTTTGTTATGTCTGCACCTGTTAATTACTATAACGGTAGTGAACTCGACTGATATGCT